AAGTCGCAAACCAAATCAACTGCACGTCGACCGGACCCGGCGAGAGCTGCCAGCTTTTGAAATCCGATGACAGACTAGATGGAAAAAGGAGAAAAAATACATATAAGAATATTGGGGGGGAAAAAAACAAATAAAAAACAATGCCCCGAATGCATGCTAAATAGAGGATTTAGGTAAATGGATTTCTAGGCATTTTCGCATTTGCCCGGGAAATTGAATATAAAGTGTGTGTCAGTAAGGGTGTGCGTCTGTGTGTGGTTGGATGTCCCTTTTGTCTTTTGTGTTCACTATGTGTGTGTTTTTATTGGTACTTATGTGAGTGTGGGTGTGGGTGTATGTGTGTTGGTGACCAACGTTAATAGCTAAAGTTTAGGCAAAGATTTCATTTTATTATGTGGAAATTTATTAAAGCCTTTGGGCCAGGAAGAGGGATTTTAATCGCTTTGCGTTTTGCTCACAACACTCATGCCCAATGCCAGAGTAGAGGCTGTTGTTGTTGTTGTAGCTGCTGCTGATGGGGTTTGTGGTGGTGGTGTTGGCAGTTAGCATCATTTCCCTGCGTCCTTGAGCCCTGGAAATGGAATAATTGGATATTCTTGTTACTTCTGCTGCTGCTCAATTCTCGGCAACAGCTCGGACAGCTCTGGCTGCGGGTCCAGCTGCTGACGATGACGTTGATGTTGTTAGCTTTTCAAAATGCTTTAAGTAAGTTTAATGGCTTCCTAAGCTGCTGCACAAGGGCTACAAAGTATCTGGCACAACATGCAGCGCTTTTCGCAATGCAAAGAAAAACGAACTTCCACTCAGTTTGTGTTGTGAAAAGAAAAATATAGTAATATTAAAATTGAATTCACTTTCAAGAATTATTCTGCTTTCAAAAATAGGTTGTCCACTATTTGTTCTACAATATAATTTAGGAATATTTATAAAAGAACAAATGTTTAGCTTTATTTAACTTGCTTTTGGGCAATTCGATATGAATTTATTTAGATATCAGATACGCTAGTTAATAGAGTTAATGAGTTATTTAAGTTCAATAAATATATATTGTATTAATTTTCTTATAGGCAACAACAATAACCCTATTAAAATAATAATAGTAAAATCAATAAATTATATAAATATTTAGATATAATATATAATAAATAATAGCAAACAATATAAATAATAAATAAAATATAAATAAATTATATAATTATAAGTTTCATTTACTTTTATTATTGCATCATATTGATATATTATTTAAATTTTACTAATTAATTATTTATTTCTTATTAGCGTATTGTTAATGTCGTATAAAAAATTGAAAATTGAATTGATGCTAATCAAACATATTTTTTAAGTATTTTCTAAATTGCTCTTAAAATTTATTTAATTTTTTTACATATATTTTTCAACAATTATTAAACTTGTACATTGTATTGCATGACATTAAAAATAATACAGTGCATTTCTGTACTGAAACATACACTTTCTTTTCTATTTCTTTTATCATTTCTCATGGCCGGAGGACTCTGCCCATTAGTAATTCATTTGTGCCACTAAAAGGCTTTTCGCAATCAAATCTATCTTAGGCTAAATTTGGGCCAGGCTCAATAAAAACATGTAACCAATTTACTAACTAATCGATCAATTCCAATTGTAAACTATTGACTTTATTAAGGGTATTCCATGCAAAGCAGAATAGTTTAAAAGTTACTTTTTATTGTGTTTGTATGCTGTTACCCCTTGCTCTTATTACGCTCCGTTTTCCGCTCTGCCACAAGTATAGGTTGCTGACCAGTTGCTGTGCACTAGAGAGAGAGAGCGAGAGTAAGAGAGAGGGAAGGCACAAATTGACACAGTTGAGGACAACAAGCAACAATTTTCAGATATTTTTCTTTTACTCACTTTACTTAGCTTCCTTGTTTAGCTGTTTTAACTTCCGTTTTTGCTGCTGGCTCTTTCTAGTTTTCATTTCTCATGTCTCCCGTCCCCCATCCTGATTTTTACATGCGCTTTTGCAGTTAACCCAAGGTTCCAACATTCAGTCCCTCGGCCAACATTGTTGGTGACAGTTACCATTGGGCATTAGCGCGGTCTGTAATAAGGATCGTCATCGCCCCCATAATCATTGGCCTGTGTAAACCTGCACTTAGCGTGGTCATTTCGCCTGCAGTTGCCGCTGGCCCCAGGAGAACGGGAACTGGACCGCGTGGCCTGGAGAGTAACGACGCCAGCATGTACGGCATATCCTGGCAGTCTGGCGGTCCGGCAGTGTATCCTGCCCAGGCGAGCCGGGAATTTCGCCACGAACCGAAATACTCTTGAGCGCAAATGGTGGCGCGCTTTGTGCGGCTTCCGCCTCGTCAGCTAATACCCAAATGGATGTTTAGTGTAAGTCGCCGTCCTTGTCGCTCCCAGAAGGCAGGACCCTTGTCCTTTGTTTTGGGCGTCGCTGCACAGTTGCCGCTGTATTGTCATTTTCTCGTATCCTTTTGCCTTTAGCCGGCTTTTGTGGGACCCGGATTTGGGTCTGGTGCCGGCAACGCAATTATATAGCCTGTTATTGTTGACGTAGCTGAAGCTGTAGTCCGAGTCGAAGTTGTTGCTCATTTCTGTTTCTGCTTAAAACTTAATGACACTTTCAGTTAATTATCGCGGTGGATTTGCAAAATTAAGCGATTCGGGTATAATTACCAAGGATTATGTAACTGCCTTATTTAGCTTTTCTTTCCGTTTTTTCCTCCTTTTCAGGGACTTTTTTCTTCACATCTTTCGCATTGACCGCAGCAGCGATTGGCAGGTTGCGGTTAACAAATCAGATTTTGGAATTACTTAGTGCTTAAGGCAAAGTAAGTGGCGCTTAATGCTTTTTAAAATGTTTAATCAGGGCTTGTTGGACGTTAAATGGCAATGTTTGGGTCTAAATAGTGAACAATTTGGGCTGTATTATTTCTGAATACATTGCTCGGATATTACAATAGATTGTTTTAGGATTTTATGATTACATCAATAAGCTGCATAACAAATTTCAGCCTTAAAGTTGATTAATAACTATCGTATTGTGCTTGGCTCAAAATTATACTTCGTTCTTTTTTTTTTCGAATAAAAACAAATTTAATTTTGAACTAATTGCAAATTTGAAAAGACAATTTCTCGGCGGCTTGCTCGACTCTCAGACACATAAGCCACACGGGTAAAGCACATTAATATTTGACCACATTTTATCACCACTTAAAGGTTGAATATACCAAAATCCCTATTTTAATATTCACTTTCGACCAAATATCTCAACCGTCTCATAGTTGTTAAACATAGTTTTTGATTCTGTTTAACCAATTTTATATGACTCTCGACGTGAAATAAGCTTTCTCCTGCTGAGTAATTGAAGTTTCCTATTTAAAGTTGCAACAAGTTTTGGAAGCGGGAAAATATGTACTGCAGCTGGATATGACCCAGCACATTAGCCTGCAATTAATTTGGAATTTTGGTAAATTGCGTGAAGTTTGCGTGTGCGAGAAAACATTTCTAGTACAATATATATTTTTTTTATTTTACTTTTATTTTTATTAATATTAATGCATAGCTTGTGCGCTCAGGTGCCTTAAATATTTTACCTTTACCGAGACCTGGCCAGAGACTGAGTCTAACGTTTGCAAATAATTTGTGCGTCGAGCTAAGCGCAAAACCCAAACGCAACCGCACAAAAACTTTTTAGACAACAGTTTTCAAAGTATTACAAGTGCTGCAGAAAAACGCAGCATGCATTGGGCAAGGGAAGGGGGGTTGGGCAACGTCGATGGAGCTGAGAGGCGGCTGGCTGTCGGTTGGTAGCCCCAACTTATATTTGCCCACTTAGACAGGGAACGAGTTAAAATTTATAGGTATTTCGCCTAAAATCTCGCAAAGTATAAACCACTTAGGTGCAGCGCCGGGGTCGTTGCTAGCGGTACGGGCGTGGCCGAGGCAAACACTTTGGCATTTGTCTTGGTAGGACTTTTTTCTTTCTGTTGCCGCGTTGTTGTTGCCGCACTTTGAACACATAAATCAGCCATGAGCAGCGCCAAATGCCAAAACTACCCGTGCCCTAGCAGCTCGCTTGCCTTGGCTCTGTCCAGGTACGTGTGTGCCTGTTTCGTTTTAAAATCAGCAGCAGGCAAAGCCACAGCAACAACAACAACAAATAGCCCATATTACTTGGTGCAACAATTGCAAGTGTTCTGAACCCAGATATAAGCCCCTTATAGCCCTGTCCCGCGCTAGGCAAGCTTCGGCTTCGCAGCTGCCCTGCTGCCTGGTTGCTTGGCGAGCATAAAGTTTTATTCTGCAGCAAAGTTTGTTTATATCTTATTATATTTTTCACACGGCATTGGCTTTTAAACGTTTTCAGTTTGTAAAAACGAGATGGCAACACTTTGAAGATACCCTGTATTTAAAAGGACTACATTACATTAAAAGAGCATTTGTAAAATACCCTGTGACCCATTTATACATCAGATAGGATAAAGGGTTGTGCTTTATGTGGTATATGTTTTTCTTTTTAAACATATTCTTTATTCAGATATTTACAACACATGTACGGGGTATTTACGGTATACAAACCTTACTCAACTTTATTGGCTTGAAAGCACTTCACGTTTCTGTACGGCAAAAATAAAAAAAATTTCATTTAATTTCCGTGGTCATCCACCTGAAGTGGTCTACCTCGCATTTCGAGTGCACAAGAGGCGTAAAAAAAAGAAGAAGAAAAAACGAAATGAAAAGAAAATGGACTCTACATTGAAAGGGGCACGTGGCAAGTGGCAGCCTATTACCGAGTGGCTGCAACAATACTCGGCATTTGCATACAAAAAGATATTATTTGTTCTGTTGCTGTCACTGCCTTTAAACGCACTCGAAAAACGAGCCACTCAGCTACTTTTGAGAACAGTTGTCAGGCTTTCAAAAAAATACATATAACATAATATTTCAGCTTACACTTGCCCAATAAGTCATGTTTTTTGAAAATAAGGAAATTAAATTCAGATTATCATGATGATATTTGAAATTTCAATTCAATCTATTAGGTTTTTACTTTTTAAAGCGCAGTAGTTTATCGTCTTAACAAATTCTTGTGGACTACATAATTTATTTCTCATTAACCTAGATCTAAGGTACTTGACAAAATTATATATTTATATTTTCTGGTCAGGTTTTTAGTTCTTATTATAAATTAGTATTTTAATTAATTCGTGTGACGGCCTTTATTCCATTGGGTACTGCCGCATCATGTTGCACGCTCTGCACGTGTGTTAACCGGAAATTACATTGGGTTTGCAGCATTTTTTGCTTCTTCTTTATCCAATTTTTGGCTTTTAATTTTGACATCGCTTTCAGATTTTGTAGCTTAGTGTACATTGGCCTGCCCAAAATGCCGGCAACAGATCCCTTTGAGCTTTCAGCTTCTTTACTCAATGGACTTCCGGTGATTTTTTAATAATTTAATTTTCTACTCTCCTCGCATTTCGTTGCTCGCCCAGCTCAGCACTGGGCTCTGGCTGTGACATCCTCAGACTCAACCTTGGCCCGGTGCTTGGTCAAACGCACGCGACTGGGACCAACGCGTCGCCAGTGTCCTTTTTGCTGGGTGGAGGGGGCCAGAGCTGGCGCTCAGTGGCTCTGCTAGTGGCTGGTGTCAGCATTGAGCTTCAGCGAAGCAGAAACTTGGCATAGCAGCCGGATGCGTGGTTGGGCAGGTCCCTACAACGCGCAGCCTGTGACACAGGCCGTGGCTAAGGCTGAGGTTCAGGCTCAGGCTTTGCCGATGTCTTCAGTTTAAGTTGGCGGAAATTGTCTGTTGTTGCGATATCCTGCTGCGTTTTATAGTCGCGCTATGAATTGTTTGTATGTGTCTGTGTGTGTATGTAGGTGACTGCAGCACCCTGCGGTAGTAGTGGACTCAGATGGATTAATGACAGTCATGTCTGGCGCACACACTTTTGCCCCGCCGCCCACAGCCACAGGCACACACAACTGGCAACTGTCTCAATTTACCTTTGTCACTGGTTTCGCATCCTGCTACTCCTTAGCTACATCACCATCATTTTCATACACTTGACAAGGGTATTCACATATTGTTAGTATATATGTCAATCATAGAGGGAGAAGTCTCTGACCCATTAACGCACATATATTCTTGATCATTAGCAACAGGCAATTCGATCTTGCCATGTCTGTTTGCCTGCTTCTGTGAAGACTATTCTTTGAGTTGTAAGGTTTTCGTCATAAAACCCCTCTATTCGGTCGAAAAGTAGGCTCTTGTATGAAAAGACTTTTAAAAATGTTTTTACCAAACCCAGCGATTTAAATCAAACCAGTCTTTTACAGGATTCATCTTCATCTTTAAGGCAAAGGGTATTTAGGATTCGACGTGCCAATAATAGTCCCCCCACCCATTTTTGTTTCTCTTTTTTGTTCGTGTCTCTGCTCGCCTTTGTTTTGCACTCGCTTTGGCAAAACTTTTAATTAATTTTCATATTTTATGCAACAGTTCACCTGGCGTGGTCTGCCTTTGGTTGTTATTGTTGAAGCTGCGACCAACTGTGGCGCAACTGGACTGACAACGTTTTCAGTGTTGCGAAACTTCATAATGTGTGGCTAATTTGTTGAGCATTCCTTGATTTATGTGCGCACTAAATATGTGAATGGAATATTATAAGATATGTATGTTGTGGAAATAAATGCAAAGTTGGTTTGCTAGAAGGGATTTAAATATTATGAGTACATTAATCATGACAGTAAAAATAAAATAAATTTTCCCTACAGTTGTGGGTTTACCTTTATGTTTGTTGCACCTGGTTCATCACACTTGGCTTCACTACCGCCATGATTAACTTAATTTTATCTTTATGTTCAACGCTTAACCAAAGCTTATCAATCGCTTCTTTTGGCTTAAAGGTTTGCTTTTACAATAGGCTTACCCATAAAATTTGCAAATTTTCCACCATTAAGATTGTATTTGGGCGACAACTACATAGGAATCCTATAAGTATCAAACTGGCATATATATGTATATATATACAAATGCACTGTAAACGCAACTAGTGCACTAATGAATATTTATAATGTAGTGCATCCCTTTCATTCTTGCATCCCTGCACTTCACTCTGGTCAAAGAAACTCATTTTAATTTATTCGTTCGCACGACTTTCATTTATTTCACTTTCGACACAGAATTTCTAAGCGAGGAAAACTTTAAAAAAAGAAGGCATCCCCTACAGACAAATACACACGCGAACACGCATAGCTGTGAAAGTATTCTCCTTGGGACATACAACCATAATGGCACAACAATCAAGTGATGGAGAAAACAAGAAAACTGAGTGGAAACAACACAAATTCACTACTCAAATCATTTTGAGAATGGCAGAGACAGAAAACGGCGCAGAAACTGGAGCTTAGTAAAGATTTTTCATGAATTTTCTTCAGTTATATTTCAATTTTTACGCTTTACTATTTTCCTTTTACATTTCAAGTTCGACATGTGAAGTGCTTTTTGCCAGTTATCATGAGCTGCAGTTGGTCTATCATTCATTTTTGTCTTTGCCTGTGTGTATGTGTGCGTGTGTGTTTCAGTGTGTGTATAATGCAATTGCATGCATCAAATTTGGATGCAACAAATTTGCTGAAGCACTCGTCATTGTGCAACAAAATCACTTGATAATACAAATAATATGAGAAAAATTTTATTTTTACTTTGTTTGGAATTTACATTTATTCAACATATTTATTTAAAGTGAATAACGAGTCGCATAATTTAATTAAATTACAAACGAATTCCCATCATCTCTTCAGTTCAATATTATTTTTATACCCTGAACCCATTAAAAATGGGTATAAGGGTATATTGTATTTGTGCAACATCCAAATTTATGTAACAGGCAGAAGGAAGCATCTCCGACCCCATAAAGTATATATATTCTTGATCAGCATCAATAGCCGAGTCCATCTAGCCATGTTCGTCTGTCTGTCCGTCTCAGAACCTATAAGAGCCAGAGACTTGAATTTTAGATTTAGATGCTCCTAGTGCCTGCGCAGATCGAGTTTGTTTCCGGCAATCGATAGCTTTCGCCGTTTCCAAGCAATCGATAAGAATCGATATCGATATCCTGTTTTTTGGGCAATTTCGGTAAATAATAAGAGCTAGAGTCACCAAACTTGACATATAGCTTCTAAAATTTAGGAGGGTTCAGGATATCCCCTAGTCGAGAGCTTCCGACTAGAACCTCTTACTTGTTTTATATATTGTTTTCATTTTTTTTATTGATATCAAGAAATTTTCTTTTGAGTGCTTGCGTTTCGGGGCGTCAATATCAATTTTTGTTTAAGTATGAATGAATATGAATTTCTAACAATGTTCACAGAATGCAATTATATTGGATTAACACCCAAAAGTGTATACACACGCTCTCTTGTTTTTGATTGTTTATTGTATTTTTATTTCTTTTTCCAAGAAATTCTTGTGTCAATTATAATTTAATTAAAATATAATCCCCTCTTTGTTGCTGCGCGTGCGTGTGTTATTGTTCTTTAATTAAATGTTTATAAGAAAAGCTGTCAAATAGACGACATTTGGTATTTTAAATTGCATCTAGCATAAGTGTTGCCTAATTGATTGTAAGCCTATTCTACGCTTTCTTGAAATCTTGAGAGCTTTTGTCCGCATTTTGTTTGTGCAGTGACTAATTGTGTTTAGCATCAAGTTTTAATTAGCTGGAAGCTTTTGTAAGCTAGTCGAATTGTCAATTTTGAATGCCCCCCTTGTGCTACGTGCAATATACATTCATTTTTGTATCACATTAGCTAGTTTCATAAAGGTCTTAATGAAAAGACAAGCTGGCTTAAGTATATAGTTGACCTAAAGCTAATGAATAACTTTAAACTGATGCTTATCCAATTTTAATGGGTATCTGGTACTTTCTCCTAGTGTCATTCTTGTTTTAATAAAGTTTAAGATATTGAAGATTTTCTTATTTTATTTTCATCTCTATATATAAAACGGTTTGTCCTAACTGACTGACTAACCGACTGATTGGGGATCAACGCACAACCCAAACCGTAAGAGCTAGGAGTCTAAAATTTTCACTTTCGTTACCTTATGTGATAAAGGTGCGCGATAAGACGGGGTTTCGGGAAATTCCACCCGAATTCCACTCAAATTTATTTTCAAGAATCCATATAAAAAATCATTTGAGATCTGTTTCGCATTTTTCGCTGAATTTTCACAGAAAGTCCGATTTACCTCAAACTTTTTTTCAGAGTTCTACATAAGAACTTTTTGAATATGTGTTATGGCGATTTGGAGAATTCCATCCGTAAGTGTGGATAAATCGTGAAAAACGCTGGTATGAAACTTTTAAAATCGTTATTTAAATTCGTTTGAGAGGTGATTCCCACTTTTCCAAAAATGTATTCCTCCTTGGTGAAAATCCGTCTCAAAGATATTGTGAGTGACGTTTCGCGCTTTAATTCATTTCCAAGGATCCCTAAGAAAAATTATTTAGGACCTGTTTTACATTTTTCCTCGATAAAAAGTGCAATTTAAAGACTTTTTGGGGATGTTTTAGTTTTTTCCGATTTAATTAAAATTTATTTTTAAATCTATACATAAAAACATATTGATTACGTGTTTTAACGATTTGAGAAATTCCACCCGCAATAGTGGTAAATTGGTGGAAAAGGTTTGTATGAAAGCTGTTTATTTACCGTCCGATCAGTTTCAAAATCATTTTTAAAACTTTTTGAGAACATTTATTTAATTCGTGCCACGGGCAAGGCTACACTCGCTAGTATATATATAAATAGGAACTAACTTAATCCAATTTTCGATATCTATGAACCATTTTTATGTATTTAGGTCATTTTCAGCTAGCGGATTTTTTTATTTGAGTACTATTATTATCTGAGCTGCAGCTTGACTTATAGGCATACTATGAAATATTTTATTGTATTTCACTGCTGAGTGATAAGCTAATGCCAATGTGCTCTTCGTTAAGCGTCAAAGTAATTCCCAATCAAAAAAATCAATGTGTGTATAATTTAGACACTCTTTTTATTTTAATTTTTATATACCATTAAAAATTAAAATATATCAAAGATACATTAGAATTCCCCTTATTACGCTCTATCAAATTCATGGATTATGGCTACGAATCGTTATTTTATGTTGTCACTTTCAGTCACTCTCTGATATTGTCATTGCTTTATTTTACTATAAATATTTTTTATTATTATTATTTTACTATAAATAATACTTTGACTTTGGCTAAGCTGGTAAATCTTTATAATTTACTTTCACTTTCAGCTGGTGTCATTTGTGAGTACACATGACCTAAATAACTATTTATCTTTATAATGATTGTCAGACTGCAATATCCATGCCAGTAGAGCTCTGGGAGGGAGGTCGGTGGCAGAGTTGAAATGTTGTTGTGATTTCTGGCGCGGTTATTGTTAAGTGCTGAATAAATAAATGTAAATTTTTCAAGATTATAAATCGTATGCAGTTGTAAACAGTTTGCAGAGACACGGAAAAGCAGCTGTGGCGGGAAGTTGAAATCTGAAAACAGAGGGGAGTTGCCTGGGCTGGGCTGGGGCTGGGTAGGGATGTGCCACAGTTGCATAAAATTGCATACGGAAAACTGTAGGACCACAATTTCTGGGGCAACAGAATCGATGTTGATGTTGGGGTGGGGGTGGTGACGGCGACGGCGTCGGCGTATGCATGTGCATCCTTCGAGGACATTTTGGTTGCGAGGCACGTTTTAAAGGCTTGATTTATGCGCACTAACTTGGATTTTACAGCGCGCTCGGTACTCGTTTCATCTGGCCTGCTCCTGCAGCGGCTCTGGTCCGTTTCTGTACTCGTCTGCCATGATTTTGTTACTTTTTCCCTTTCTGTTCAGCTGGCTCTCCGGCGCTGGCAGTGAAGCTGTCAGTGTCGTATGGAAAGGATTATTTAGAGTCAGCAGCGGCTTGCAAGCGTCTCAGCGATAAGAGCGCACGACTAACGACAATGGAGGCGATGCGTCGGAGGTCCGCGACCGCTGATGACGACGAAAAGCGCTCCGATCAACGCAGCGGCTGCATTTCAGCTCCGTTGGGGAAGGGTGCTTGGTGGGGAGTTGGGACACAGGCTGCGTGGAAGCTGTGTGTCAGCTGTGCAGCTTCCACCAAAATATCAGCTACTTTACCCGCAGATAAAACTGTCGTCCTTTGTTGTGTGTGGCGGGTATAGTTTGCGGGGCGCTATCATAAAATGCGCCTTACCGAACCCAAATGCAGCAAGATTTGAGAGTCAGTTGCATTGCTTTTATACATTTTCTCTCTCTCTCTCTCTCTCTCTCTCTCTCTCTCTCTCTCTCTGTTTATGTGAGGCTACATTTGTGCCCAGTGTGCGACTGTTTCCGATTGCTACTCAAATGCGACTGTGTCTAGATTTTAGTAATATAAGTTAGCTATTGATTATATTTTTCTTATTAAAAAAAATTATAATCAAAATTATATTTTCTTATAAATAAAACAAATTCAAGTATAGACGGAGAAGCTAGAAAGGAAAGTTGAATAAAACTATTAAATATAATATTTTACAATTTTTATGAGCTCTGCATCCTGGAATCCAGAACAATTTGTTGTTATTTGTACCATGCTTTAATTAGGTAACTCAGCTTAGATCTTCTTTGTTAAAAATTAATAGGTAAACAAATCGCAAATATTAAGAATTCTAAATAAAAGTTAATGCATTCAAAATATGCTATGCTTACTTCAAGAAATCCCATTTCAGCAATCATTTTATAAAATCAAGGTGCAATGGGTTCAAAATATTTATTGTTTATGGATCACTCAAAGAAAAAACAAGCATATAATATTTGGAAGTCTATCAAATATTGAAAACTATAAAATATTCAGATAGACTAAGTTGTACTCATGTATATAAATATCGCAATCAACATGTTGTTTGTTTACAGGCAGGACTCGTGTAGCGCAATTCTTTTAAAGGACAAAAATATACAAACTTGATGTGGACTGGAGGCCGTGTATAAAAGCGTGTATGAAAGCGGTTGGCGGGAACGATATTTATGCATATATGGAATGCAAAAATGCTTGACCTGCGATCGAAGTTCAAACAAATATTTGCATCTGTCTTTACAAGGACCAAGGACCAAGCCTCGCGAATGGGGAGTCGAGAGGCTCAGCGTGCGCGTTCGATTTTGTGGGCTTTATGGAATCATAAAAGTAATTAATTGATATGTGTGCGTGCATGGCGTAATTGCCGGCACAGACAAATATGCCGTGTATACAGTTATACAATTTCTGAAATTTTTCAGCTTTTGCTGTTGCCGGTAATCCCTACCCCCATCCCATCCGCACAGTCACACGCAACCAACGGAACCGTAATGAAACTTAACAATTACATGCTGCAAGGCTTGAATTAAATTTTGAGTTGTGGCCGGTTTTATTGCAGATGATAATTGCTATGTAATGACATTGCCCATATCGATTGGGACATCGTTCAGATTCGCAGTGCGGTGCGGTGCGGTTCAGTTTGGTTCGGTTCGGTTCGGTTTGCTTTGGTTCTCCGCATGACAGCGCGTTGGAGAGCCATGCTTTCAGCATTCGTTACGCATTTTAATTATCCCATTGTGTGCACGTAAAGGCCGGAATGAGCATATTGAATTGTATCCGTCGTGAAATTGCAAACAAATCTCTGAATCATTAAGGCAACTGAAAGAACCCAAAAGAAAACGAAAAGTTAAGCTTAATCGAAGCGTATGCAAATTTTAAACAACTGCTGCAAGTGTGCATGTTTTTTTTTAATTTTTTTTTGTGTGAGTGTATAGGAAATTAATGAGAAATATTCAACGTTTATATGAAGTCGTGGGAAGAGCAACATTACGAACAATCAGGTGAGTCAGATATATATTTCTTTAAATTTATGTTATTTGAATATTTTCCAACCAAAAATCTATATTTTATTCATCAAAAATTAACCAAATTAAGCACAGTGTTAGTTTCAAAAATGTTCATACTTATGTGAATTAGCTTGAATATTTTGCAAATTAAAGTCTATATTTTAACTTTTAAAAGTCAACAACACAATAATTAAAGCAAGTAAAAGGTTCTAGTCGGGAGCTCCCGACTAGGGGATACCCTGAACTCTCTTCTTTCAACATCAAATGCATATATATATTTTATTTTAGAATATATGTCAAGTTTGGTGACTCTAGCTCTTATTATTTAGCAAAATTGCCCAAAAAACAGGATATCGATATTGATTTTTATCGATTGCTTGGAAACGGAGTAAGTTATCGATTATCAGAAACAAACTCGATCTGCGCGGGAACTAGGAGCATCTACATCTTAAATTCCAAGTCTCTAGCTCTTATAGGTTCTGAGATCCTTGCGTTCATACATACGGACGGACGGACATATAATTATAATTATTAAAAAAAAAATTACCTTGAATTAAGTACAAAGTGTTAGTTAAGAATTTGTATACTTCGAAGGGAAGTTGACAAGGATTGCAAAGGTTATTTAGGGCTGTATATGAAACTTTTGGTATTCACAAATATTCTGGAGACAAAAATATCGTTGTCAGCTTAAGCAATTTTACGCTGCCTTTCGTTATTCGTTCGCAGTTTAGGGAAAAACTTCTTAGAATTTTCACTGAGTTTAATATTGCACAGACTCTTTAACTTATTGCAATATTATATACATAAAATTATAAAATATATGTGTAATTTATGAGCTGAGTTTTACACCCCTCGATTTTCCTTCAACAAGTGTTGGAAAAGTTTTGTTAGTTTTCCAATCGAACTGAAAAACTTGTTATGCCTCGCACCTCACAAGTACCATAAAGTACTATAAAGTATCATAAAGTGCTATGCTGTACCCGTGTGTATATTCGACTTACGAGCATTTCCAATAAAATGCTTTTCAAAACAAAAGCAATTGGGTTGAAAAACACAAACAAAAACCTCTTTTATGCGGTTGTTTATTGTAATGTACTCGTGTGCCTCATATTACACATTGTAGATAAACAATAATTACGCACATTTAAACACACGCAAATTAACTTCAACACATTTGTATGAGTGTGTGTGTGTGTGTGGCGTGCGTGTGTGTGTATGGTCTGTTGGTGGTCATGGTAGCATCTGAATGGGAGCACGCATATCTGGCCAGTTGTTGTGGCTGTAGACTGACAGGCTTTGTGTGTGTGAGTGGTTGGGTGTGTGTGTGGGTAGGGTGGGCCATTACAGATTTATCGCAACGAAATGTAGGTGTGCACGATTTATGCACAGTTTGCTGAGAGCGACAACAGTAACGATGCCAACAAATCACTGCGCAAAACAACAACAACAATGAAGATTATATGGCATTGGCATCAAGAAGCGCAACAGCATCAGCAACTGATGCTGATGCCACTGGCAATGGCAACAATGCCGAACATGAACTCAACGTGTGTGTGTAAATGCGTATGCTTACGTGTGTGTGTGCGTGTGTGTGTGTGTATGTATGCTGATTGCCCAGCCATAATGTGCGGCTGGCCAAAAGGCAGTCAAGCCTACGACTGCATACCCATACCCACATCTGTTGTGCTCGCTGCCCGATACCGTAGCGTATCAGTTAATGTGGGTTCAGCTTCAAGCGGAAACGGAAACGCCCCACAAATCGTGGTCTAATGATCAGCTCTCATTTAATTAATTGTTGATAACAGTTTCATGCTGCATCCCACTTACTCTGTCCACCTCCCAATACGCAAATGCGTCGCACAAACTGTGGCCACCAACGGGGCTACCAAATTCAATCTCCATGATAAAGTGTTTGTGTGCTTTCACTTCCTAATCATATTGTAATTAGGTATATTATACCACCTCATGTCTAGCTCATTTGATGCTAAGTATTATATTATAGAGACCGCTTGGATTGTTTATAGATTACATTCGTTAACATATTGCATTTTGTCTTCTTATTTTGTCAAACCCTTAACTTAGTTAAAAGCGAAATATAGTACGGAATTCAAAAGCCTTGCCCTGTTTCCCTAAGAAAATTATAAGAAATTTATTTGACTCTTAACTTTCGCTTTTTTTCAGTCGTGTTGAGCTTGATTAACTTAACCTAGAGAGCAGCAAAAGCAGAAGCAGCTCTTCATATAGTCAGTTTGATATGTGGCTGAGCGTGGGTTTCACAATTTTAGGCAGCTGAGAGACCCTAGCAGAGGGCAGGCGGTAATAAGCGGGAAACTTAGTGCAGAAATGGCAACAACTTGAGTGCAACTCGTTCCACATGCACTTCAATTGCAACTTTTATAAACTGTTTCAACTCAAATTATATTTACGAGAGACCACAAAAATTGACAAGGGGCATGGCGTGGAGGCTGGCAACATTTACAGAATGTGCGAGCCAGATATGCCAAGAAGTCAGCAAATTTGTGTGGTGCGATATGAACGGCTGAGGGGTGGAAAGGGGGGGGGGGGGAGCGAGGGATGTGTGGGATGGTGCATGTGGCAGGAAGCAGAGAGCCGAGTCGCGAGTCGTGAACTGCTGTGTATCGAGAGCGGCATGCGGCATGTGGCATGCGGCATGCGGCATCATTAAGCGCATCATTTTTGGTACTTAAAACTTCAGCAACGTTTCGCTGTTGCCGCTGTGGCAGTAACAACAGCTGCAACAACAAACGGTAAAGTAGACGTAATTTTTAATAGTTTTCGCAATTAAATCGTAAAATTTAACAACTTTGCGCAGTTCTTAACGAAATTGCGTTGGGCGGCGCAAGTCACCAAAATCTGACACTGATGCATTTCCGTTTGGCTGTCTCCCAACTTTGCCAGTGCAACAACCAGCCAAGCATCAGTGCAACCACCGGAACCATCTCCGTTCCATTTCCGGCTCCGGCTGCGTTCATCGTAATGTGAATATCTCTCGAAGTTTTGCTGATTTTCTTTGCGCTGTTCGTCGTTGGGACGTCAACTTTATTATTTCCGTCAAGCAAATCTTTAAATTAAATCCACTTATAAAGTATTTATGGCTGGTGCTAAATATTATCGCACGATTTCTATTGCCATTAAAATAGAAACAAAATTACGAGTTTGCCACAATTATATCACTTGCAGTCAATTATGCGGATTCTCATTTACCATTTCGCCAACGTTTCGCGATCTATTTAATGCACTTTCAGGAGTTGATGCATAGTGCTGGCAGAAATTGGGGTCCATTATCGGTTAATTTATTCGTTTACTTCGTGAAACGAGCTAAGTAGTGCTTGAAGTAACAATTCACTAAACAAAAAAACATTCGAACTACTCAACATGAAAGCAACATCTTCGAGCTAATCAGGAGACATCTATGAACAGTTGTTTGCAACTCAAACTGGTTGACCTTAAGAAATTGAGTGCTGACTTGTTCGATATAATTTTTCGAATAGCCTAAATGTGTTTTAATTTATTAATTATTTTACGTATATTATATACATATTATATTTATATTTTATTATAATAAATAAATAAACCGCATCAGAATTGAAAAGCTCTTAACTATATTCTTTAAAATAATTTGAAAAGTAAGCCCTTCGATAAATTAAAAACTAAATTTTTATTCCTTTCAATTGTATATATGGATAGTAAATATTAATCTTCGAATGTGGAACACGCAGCTGGAAAATGTGTGTCCGAAAAGAAAGAATATAACCAAAGATTGTAAATCTTATGACCGCAAATGTTTTTGCCAAGAAAAAGCGTCGACATTGGCGTCAAGCATAGCTCGCATTAAGTCATAATTTATATGCACAAGTGGAAAAAGAAGCAGGCATAGTTCAAAATTCAAATGCCCTACTAGCATAACATGGCCGCCGCAGGAAGGTGAAATTTATTGGAATTCCATCAATTCTAAAACCATGCTCTGCTCCAATTTCAAATCGGAGGCATCCAACTGTGCTGTTTGACCCGCATCGCATGGCAACGGACAGCTCTTTGTAGCTGCCGTGGGTTGCTGCAATGAAAGTGGCTATCCACTCGCACCCGCAACCGCCAGCCTTGGCCAGGCCTGCCGTGTCGTGTCCTGGCCTGGCTTGGTCAAGACCAACCGCTCATCATAAATACAAAGCAGGCAGCGCTATGTCAGTTGCCCGCTCTGACACTTTTATTGGCTCTCGTGTCGCTGAAAGGTGCTCAGCAGCGATATGCCAGCAGCAACCTGCAGCTGCTATTACGCGTCCCCACGCCCCCACGACCCCGCTCCTTTGGCAACGCACGTCTTTGTGCAAAGCAAATGAAATTGAAAATTTTTATGATGCCAACGCAGCCGGAAGAAGCTTCCAATTGAAGCGCCCCTCTAGTGGGGGCCAGCTGAGTAGTTGCTGCCGCTGCGTTTGCTTGGAATTCTGGAAATTTAAACAGCTGTATAAAGTTAGTTAACCTGCTGCTGATTAAGAAGCGCCCAACTTCTTGGCATTTACGGCATCGAGGGCTCGGCCCGTATAATTTTAATAGCCTTCAATGGGCGACACGCGCTGCTCCGGCTTCGGCTCGTGTTTTCAGCTTCAGCTTGGTTCTTTATGAGCGTTTGCTCCTTAACCAAAAACTGCAGCTTAAATATTTTGCGCAAAAACTAAAGCAGAGCCGGGCGAATTTCCACGCGCTAAAAGTAGCTGCCAAGTAACAAGCTTAACCGCAAAAACTTTGAAATAAACTTTTGTTGCTTGTTGTTGTTCTTTTTATTGTTGTTGTTGTTGTTTTTGTTGTTGCTGGCAAAATAATTCAGCGTGCGCCCGCGCAAGCGGCATAACTATAACTTCCGATTCCGCTGCCAGCCAAACGGTAAAGGGACGGGGAGGGGGGGGGGGGGCGTTGACTGGTTGGAGTTACTGTTGCGGGTGCGCCATGTAATACAGTTAAATATAAATTCAAAAAATATATATAGAGTTTTGTGCAACTTTTTGCTCTGCGCTGCACTTGCCCCGCTTCTTATATCTTCCATATTTTTTTTCTTTTATTTGTTACTTGTGCAATTTGCATGAGCGGCAAACACCCACGAACAACTAACAAGTCGTCCTGCTTGGTGGCAGCAACAACAACAACAATAGGAGTGGCAAGCAAACTTCCGGCTGATGAATAAGTGTCTGCGTGGCCATGTGGCTGTGGGGTGTTCCCGTGGGGCGTGACTATTGCCATAGCTGGTTGTTTGTTGTGTGTGCGTGTTTAGTTTGTTTAACTGTAAAAAAAAAACGAAGAAAATAATAATAAAAACAACTTCCTAATTGCGAAAATAAAAATCAACAACTGCCGCAACACTCGCGCAACAGCAACAGCAGCAGCTACATCAGCAACAATAACAATTAAGCTCGAACAATGGGCCACTATCGATGCATAAGTAGCTACTCATAAGACTGAAAACTCGAAACAAAGATATGGCAGCGCCAGTTGTAGTTGTGTGTGTGTGTCTCAAGCTACTAGTTTATCAGAACTAAATGCTGGGCATAACATTAGTAGCCCACATTATGCTCAAATTTGGCACTGTTAATTCAACGACGATCATGTTATGGAGCCAGTGCTGGCAGATATTTAGTTTTCTGTTAGATTTTTTATTTATTTTTATTTTAATTTACGATCTATCTTATCGATAATGAGTAAATTATGTGGTGTTGATAATTACATGAGGCTTTTTGTGTGTATTGGAAGAAAAATACAATTTTTTTTCTTTTTTGACATCCCTGGGGACTTAACCCCCCCGGATCTTCTGCCCAGGGTGCTGACTTGTAGCGCACCACACTACGCATAGTCGCTTCTATTAGATGCAGAGCTTTAAAAGAAATTCTGTTGCTTAACATGCAGCCTTATAGAAATTTGAATAAAATTATTATTTTAAATTATATAGATAGAATTTGCGCTAATATGCGAATGCATTGACCATTGTAGCACTGGGGGGTATGACATTGGCATAGCATCGCAGTCTGGCATAAATTTAACGCAGAACAACTCGGACTTCCGCTCTGACCGAGCGCCATGTTGTTATGCAGAATGTGCGGACGTTGCCGGGCCGCAATGTTGTCTATGTCTGGAATAGCGAGCGTGTGCATGTGCGTGCCAGTGTGTGTGTGTGCACAAATACGATTTAACAAAAAGTAAGTGGGCCCAGGGCTTACAGCATTGCCGGCAAGCGAACAAACAAACCAAATGAAGTTATACAAACTCTGATAGCGGCAACAGCAGCAGCAACAGCAACAACAATCACAACACCAACAGCAGCAAGTCCTGAGGCCTGAAAAAATGTCGGCTCATATTAATTTCTGCTATCTCAGTGACGGTTCACATGCGTATTGTTCTTGTAGATTTACATTGTTGTTTTTGCTGTTGCTGTTGTTGTTGCTGCAGTGCGTTCGCGTGCGCGACTCTAGCAATAAATTTGATTTGTTTAGCAATTTGTTGCATATCGCATTGCGCATACGCCCCGTGCATTCATCTAGACGAAGTCACGTCTGTTGTCGTCGTTGCTGTTGCATTTACCCTCTTCCTACCCCTTGCCATCACTTGTGCAGTTGCTTTAACGATGAATAACGTGTTTTGCATTGTTGTTCTTTTCGCTGGCAGCTGCCAACTTTATGCGACATTTTATGCACTACAACTGACAATAATTTATATTGAAATATGTCTCTACACTCACTGTCTGTCTATGTGGTGTGTGTCTTAGTTGCGCATACATGACGGCTACCCAACATTTAAGCATGTTCTGCAGTCTATATATTTGTGTAAATTGTACTTTTGCCCAGAAAATCAACTTAAGTAATCCGTTAACATTTGTTTACACATGAATAATTGTGTGTTCTAAATGGAATAATATACATAAATCATAATATTTCTTTTTTTATATTAATTTTACTACTTTTGTTACATGAATGCATTTCTAATACTTATGTCTAAATGATGCATAACTCCTGGCAATTGGCAGCGCTTGCAACAAATTGTTCCATTGCGACCAACATGCACTTGTCTGCGGCCGCTTGGTGCCGCTCAATGTCTTGTTGTGTGCATTTTAATAATTAATAATAATTTAGCATGCACTTAATTTTAATTATTACTCAATTAGGTCAGAGCCATAACAATTTAAGCACCGAGCAGTGCCAGCGTTGCTCGTAATGAAGAGCGCGTGTAATTAAACAATTTTCGCTGGCCACAGGCGGGACGACAAGACGCTCCACTCGGTTATGTCGCCTGGCTTTGTAGCCTGTCATTGTCCTTGTCGCTGCTCGCTGCTCGCTGCTCGGTTCCCGCCAGCCGCGTCATTAGGGATGCTTTGTGTGCAAATTTGATTTCATAACATTTTGTCAGTGTTTCGCCTCGATTTGGCGCCTTTACGATGCACATACATTTTACGACAAAGTTGAACTTATAAATAGTTTTACGAACTGGCGCACAGCTCTAACCACAGCAGCCAAGATGAAGTGACGATGACGTTTGACAAAGCTGATGAGCGGATGGCCATGGGGAAAAGTCCAAGTGCAGAAGGCCAGGAAAACATTTGTGTTAAATTTATAGAACATAGCCAGCGAAAGTGTATTTGTTTATTCATTTGCAAGCTTTCATGTGTTTGAATAAAGTTGTGAAGCACATTACTCGAATTTTATGGAGAAATTATGAGCATAGGGTGTGTATAAAAAAGGTAAACTGCTTAACTATGGCAGGTGGCTTTAAAACTGGTTGTGAACTGTAAGCAAAATTAATCTGTACTTCTTATTCTTACTTTGGCGTGTTATTACATGCTCCTTACATCTTCATAATTTCATTTATACATATATTTCTCTTCTGACTATGAAGAAGCGACTTTAACTGGTTGGGAACTGCAAATACACAGTATTGCTTTGTTTATATTAAATTGCTTTGAGCCTTGCTTGGTTGGGATTGATTTTCTCATAGCATCTTCAAATCGCATTTAGTTTTTATCTTTTCGAGGCGTAATCTGTACTTACTTTAATTGCATATAACACTCCTTACTAAAGTATCTTCAATTTATTTAACGTTCTCTGTTTGCATTTAACCTGAGCGTATACAAGTTGAATGCCATTAGGCAAAAGGCTGGCAAGGAAAAAAAAATCGAAATTCACATATCAAATATACAAAATATGTATGATAGTGTGTATGTATGCAGCACAGCTATAATGTGCATTCCAAATGTAAACTCGTGAAAAGGCTGAAAATGAAAGGCGAAGAAAAAAAAAAAAATAAAACTTCATATCTGATTGAATAATAATGTGTGCTTAAGGATTTAATGTGCAGCTGGCAGCAGCTGCTGTTACGCTTTTTTTTACTTTTTGTCTTCAGACTTCCTTGTGTCGTTCTTTTTTGCTGTAGTAAAATAGCACTTGGGATACGCAAAAAAAATATGCAAAATTACAAAAACAACAAACATCGATGGGCTCAGCCTGTGCGCCCAATGGGGAATTTGCTGTTTGCCTGATGCTGATTGCCAAAAAAGTAAAGAAGGGCACGTTGAAAAGAGCTAGAGAACTACTTGTAAATAAACACACACAACGAGCACTCACGGAAACATATATATATACAATACAATACTTTGACAGGACACATTTACAAGCAAGAAGAGCAGCAGAAAAAAAAATTGAATTTTCTTATCGCACGTTTTCAAATTAACCCAAAACAGCGCCAAGAGCAGACCCACAGGGCTGCGTGTCAAGTTTATTTAAATGTACCTCCCACCCCATTTAGCTTCTCAAAAACCACTCCATTCACCCATCGGTGTCCACATTGCGTTTTGCTAGCCATCATCATTAGCAGCACATTTAGAAAGACATCCACATGTGAGATCTTTTGGCATTAAGTCGAGCCCAACAAATAAAAAGGACTCAACAAGGGTATAACGGCGTAGTCGGGTGCCACTGACTGCGAAATACCCTCTTCGGCATGCATTATATAAAAAAACTTTTGCTAAAATTTGGCTTAAAAGTTCTTTTGTACAATTTTTTGTCCCAATTGCCAGCCATATAAATGTCCATATTGCATGTTTGAAGCGGCGCTTAGTGAAGTTCGTAGCTTTTTGAGTTTGATACTAAACTCTTGCTATAAACGTATGGCCGATTATATCTACTGTCTACTACGGATAGACAGAAAGGAAAGTATGCTAAGTAGCATCACAGATCTAAGATTAAGAAAATTTCGCATCGAGAAATGAACGCTTGTCCATCTGACAAGGTTAGAACGAATCGATTGGTGATCAAGAATCTTCTCAAACCAGCTCCCTTTCAAAATTTAAAGTCTTGCTCTTTGGGATATGAAGGATTTGCCATGGCATGTTTAAGGCCTGAAAATTTTATAGAGATCTGGCTATAAAAAGCCGGGGTAATCGGGAGTGTATTTCCCATACATAGTGCGGGGCGAAAAGCTAGCTTCATGCACAATTCTTAAAAACTTGACTACCTCCATAAGTGCAATATCTGGCTTCAAATATTTTTAACTTTTTATCGTACTTATCGTTCTCTATAACCAAATAAATAATACGTATTGTATATATTAATAGGGTGGTACGCCCTGTAATCTGAACTAGATTTGAATTTTAACGTGCGGATAAACTCGATTGGGATGCAGGTAAGTCGCACCGACTGGGGTATCAATATTCTGCCAAAACGTTTCCAGCTGGCTTATATCTTGTTTGGTATAGTTTTCCTGGTCGCTTGACCAACAATTGGGGCGATTTGCAAATTAGTTGCACAAAATGCATGGCTTCTTCGGAATATCTGCCGCTTTCTTTGCTCGTAAAGTAAATATTTCCAACTACCAAAGTATTACAGAATCTTCTGGAGTTTCTATAGGATTAATTCTATATTTTTAACCATATTTCTCATCTATTTGTGAACATTCTACGGGCATCTTTTTTGCAAGGCATCATTCGAAATAACCGCGTTGGGAAGAATTGGTTGAAAGATGGGTTTTTATACGGCAAAACTGGCTGCTTTTTTTAGACATATATACCAAGTCCACAATTTCCAGATTAACTATTCTCCTCGCATATTTGCAAAAATGTTTTTCATTCGTGGGCACAAATTCTTTGGTTTTCGAGCAATTTGATTTGCCAACATTTCTCTAGGCCCATGAAAACCAAATTAAAAAACACCCAAGAAAATATTATACAACATTTAAACCAGTCTGCCTTGCAGTCTGGACTGAAATTGCTGAGGGTAAATTTCGATTAAAATGAATATCTAGTCTGGCCTAGAGAAAACACTAACTTTTTCGGCCTCGGGACATTCTCCTTAAACTGACCTGCCACATTGCCAGCAGGCTTATATCTGGCGACAACGAAGTTCTTTCGTTTACCACTGGAATTGATTGTTTGTTATGCACTTGAACATTATCTGCTTAATGTTTTTATATACATACCTACTCTGGCCAACGCCCATAGTTGTGCTTGACTTCCAAATTAATTGAGTAAAATGCCCAGTTATCAATGAGAATCCGGGACTTTCATATTTGTAATCCTTAATTTCATCGTACCACATTTTCACACATGTCAGTGGATTTTTGTCGTATAACAGAGATTTTCACCATAGTCACCATTTGAGTGATCTAGGCTATCTTTTTCGACAAGCAGCTTTAATTTTTCGATCAGAATTCAATATGTCCCACTTACAATAATCGCAATTACTTACTTCAGCATACTTTTTACACTCCTCGCTTAATGTGGTATCTAGCAGGAGGCTGGGACAGCCGTGTTCAGCCCGGTATTTATTATGCTCGTGTAGAAAGTCATTTTCAAAATCTGATTTAACTGATTTATACTAAAAAGCATATTGAAAATATAAGTTCCAATAGTCTGTAGTTTGGACATACCAACAATAAAAGCACTGTCATCCACAGCGCCAAAACAATGCCAGTGCTCATGAAGTTTTATACATAGAGAATTTAAAACGTGTATTTAATTTTTTTCTTGTATTTTTTTTTTTATGAAAAACAATATGCTTTCAAGTGTTACTTTGATGACTTCTACACACACAAAAAGTTAACGTAGTATTTAATTTAACATAAATGAGAAAGAAGGGCTTTCTTAGGCACGCCGAATACCTAATACCCTTGCAGTCCCGACCTTTTCATAATGCTCATAGTGCCTTTCTCGATCTAACAAGCACAGGGAAAATAGTTAGTGCTGTGTTTGGTCTTGATAAACACAAAAGGTTTCTAATCAAAAACCTAGTTTTCGACCGATCGTTCCTATGGCAGCTATATCATATAGAAGTCCGAACTTAACAGGATTTTGCATATATATTAGGAGCATAGTAAAACTAATAAATGCCGAGTTTGGTCAAGATATATTGATAATCGTTCGACCGATCGTTCCTATGGCAGCTATCTAATATAGTGGTGTCATATAGCTGGTTCTGACAAATGTACTGCATGCAATAGAAAGAAGTACTTCTGCAAAGTTTTATAAAGATTGCTTTTAAACTAAGAGACTAGTTCGCATAGTAACAGACAGACGGACATGGCTGTATCGACTCGACTGTTGATACTGATGAAGATATATACCTTTAGGGATCGGAGATGCTTCCTTCTGCCTGTTACATTCCGATAATCGATAACTTACTTGGTTTCCAAGCAATCCATAAAAATCGATATCGATATTCTATGTTTTGGGAATTTTGGTAAATAATAAGAGCTAGAGTCACCAAACTTGACATATAGTTCTAAAATGGAATATATATAAGCATTTGATGTTGGATGAAGAGGGTTCATGGTATCCCCTAGTCGGGAGCTCACGACTAGAACCTCTAGTTTTTAATTTAATAACAAATTGCTGCATTAAGCTTTATATAATAACCCTAGCGGGTATAGCCCGGCCTTGCGCGTTGCACTTATTTTTTAAAATCAATGTTCTAGAATAGCTTTGATTTTGAAACTGAGCGGACAGCAAATAACCACTGTTTCGAGTGGGATTTCCCAAATCGCTGAAACCGTTATTCATTATATTCTTTTAAAGAGCTTTGAAAATAAGTTTGATGCAAATTAGACACAGCTTAAAATTCTCAAAAAATTACTTTAAAATGCACTTTCCACCGAAGGAGCTTAGATTTTGCAAAAAATGTGAAACACGTCTCAAATGATTTTTTATGTAGATCCATGCAAATGAATTTGAAGTCAAAAAGCCACCCACCAAATCTTTGACTCCCATTTCCACCAAGGAGTGGATTTTTCGAAAAGTGTGAAATACCCCTCTAATGAATTTTAACAATGATCATTGAAAATAAGCTTGAGGCCGATCCGATGGATAAAAAAAAGTTTCATACCAACGTTTTTCGCTAATTAACCACTGTTGTGGGTGGAATTTTCCAAATTGCTGAAACACGTATTCATTAAGTTCTTATGTACCCTTTAAAAATAGGTTTGAAGCAAATCGGACACCACTTAAAACTTCGTCCAAAAAATCTTTGAATTGCATTTCTACCGAAGGTGTTTAGATTTTGCGAAAAATGTGAAATACGTCTCAAATGATTTTTCATATAGAGCTTTGCAAATGAATTTGAGCGCGAAACGTCATCCACCAAATCTTTGACCCCCAT